CCCACTCAGATGACAACCAAAGGTCCACAGCACTCCCTCAGTCGCGAAATCCCATTGCTATCATAAAGCAAGAGGTAATATGAAGTCTGAAATGCTTTTAATAACAGGCAAAACAAAAACCCAGAAATGTGACACAGCAATCACTTAGAAAATGAGGCATTACCTTTTTTCTTCTCTCACAATTGGGATCATCGATGTTATGAAAACTATTTTCGTCTATTTCTCCTAACCAAATATGCTCACCAATGCCAACCAAGCAATTTGGATTTCCTTTGCAGTTTCGTCTATAGGGAAGAAAACAACAAATATTATTTAATTTTAAAATACCTGGAACAGGGGAAAGAAAGATGACTAAAAATGGTTATTATGGAGCTTCTTTTTTAGGTGGCAAAATTATCGTATGAGTGGGATGTGTCTCAATGGCAGAGCAGGTGCCCAGCCCGCAGGAGGCCCTGGGTCCACCCTCAGCACTACGCATGTGTGTAAACGGCAAGTGCCAATGTGGTGTCACAGCATACTGAGAACCACTAGACTGTACACCTCAAATGGGTGCGTTGTATGGTACATGAATTATCTCAATAAAGCCGCCTTTTTTAATGTAAATTAAAAAAATAAAAATTCAATAATTTCATGATGAGAAGCAAATTAAAACTACAATAAACATAATTTGTCATCTACTTATCATCAATAAACTAGCCAAACTGAGAAAGCACAAGACACTCTGAAACAGGCAAGCGTGCGCTACTGTTGGGAATGAAAACTGTTGGGGCTTGGCTGAGGGGGATTTTGCGACCTCTGACAGACCTATCTTTGACCTCAAAATCTTTTTTCAATTAATTCTCCAAAAAAATAACCTAAACAATGCAAAAACAGGGGCTGGGATTGTGTCTCAGTGGTAGGGCGCTCATTAAGTAGTGTTGAGGATCAAACCCACGGCCTCACAAGTAAATAAAATAAAGGTATTGTGTCCAACTACTTCTAAAACAAATACTTAAACAAAATGCAAAAACATTTAAATTAGGTTACTCATTATAGCATTAAGTTAGCACTTAACCCAAAACATTAAAATGACCCAAATGTTTAAACACAAGAGAATGCAGCAAAACCCACAATGGAGTACTAGACAACTGTAAAACAAACAAACAAAACAATGAGATGTAACTAATGTGGAATAATTTCAACAATACATTAAGTAAAAACACTAATGTATTTTAGTGTTTTAAACATCTATAGTACATTATTTTCATATGACGAAGGTGGGCAATCTGAAAATAGACATGTATTGGGGCTCATTTGATCAGAAAGAAACAAAGAATAAACCAGAATCTAATAAAACTACCAACAGGAACATGGTTCAGGGCCGGGGATGTAGTTTAGTGGTAGAGCGCTAACCTAGCATATGCAAGGCCCTGGGTTCCATCAGCAACAACTTGCAAAATCAAACAAAACAAAATAACAACAACAAAAAAAAAAAACAACTAGAGTTTACACAGGGTAAATGGGCATATGAAACTTCCAAATCTACCTATCCGTGTATTATTTAACTGAGGGAGCACATTAACATTTCTTACAACACAGGCACACAAGAATTGTAGGCATCCTAAATTCATATTTCCCCAGAATGAAATATGGGGGGCGGGAAGGATGCCCAGGATCAAGTCACTTGAGAGTCATTAATTAGCAAGCTCATAGGGTAATGTCAGTAGGCTAAAGATAAAAAGGATAAACTTTAATCAGTAGGCTTCCTTTTCAGAGAAATTAGCTAGCAATTCAGAAATACTGATATTAATTTCTAAATAGTCTTTACTAAAAATTACTAAAACACCCAAATAATGTGGAATAATTTCAACAATAAATTAAGTAAAAACACTAACGTAATTATTACTAAAAACATCCAAAGCTTGCTAGCATAATGGTACAGGTCTGTAAGCCTAGCTACTTGGGAGACGGAGGCAGGAAGATCCCATCCTTGAAGCCAGCCTGGACAACTTAAGGATACCTTGTCTCAAAATTTTAAAAAAGGGCTTGGCGTGTGGCTTTAGTGGTAAAGCACTTGTCTGTTCAAGGCCCTGGGTTCAATCCACAATACCAACACATACACACGCATGGGTGCCAGGTGCAAACTATCTGCACACACACAAAATTATAGAGGAAAATATTCAACTCCAGAGAAATGCAAATTTAAAAGTCATGAAAGATGTTTTGACTTATCCAATCATTAAATTGTGTAACATTAATACTCAAAGAACCAAGGTCAAGTGAGAGCCCCTATCCGCTCACTGCTAATAACTAACACCATTGGAGAAAGAGTGCTTTTCTCCACTCTAACTTCTGATACCAGATGCACAGGCTTTTCCCACACTGACCAAATCTGATGTGGCAAAGTGTTCTAAGAGTCAATTCTGACACTATAACCACAGTTAGGGTGAGGACACTCTGCCACAAAACTGCCCACTCAGATGACAACCAAAGGTCCACAGCACTCCTAAATGGCTTTAAATCAGAGGTTCCCATAACCTCTTCCTCTAGTTTAATGGTTAGAAAGGCTCACAGAACTCAGAGCAAACTTTTATTATGCTTACTGGTTTATTACAAGGGACACTATAAAGGCTACAGATGATCAGTCAAATGAAGAGGTACAGTGATGAAGTATGTAAAGGTCAATAACAAGGAACTTGGATTAGAAACCTGAGGCAGGAGGATTGGGAGTTCAAAGCCAGACTCAGCAACTTAGCAAGGCCCTAAGCAACTGGGTGAGATGCTATAAAAAAGGGTTGGGGATATGGCTCACTGGTTAAGCAATCCTGGGTTCAAACCTCGGCACCAAAAAACTAAAAATGAAGGTGGGCTGGGGTTGGGCTCAGCAGTCGAGCACTTGCCTTGCACGAGTGAGGACCTGGGTTCGATCCTCAGCACCACATAAAAATAAATAAAAATAAAGATATAAAAATAATAATAAAGGGAACATCTATCCCTGTGGAACTAGGGTGCACCTTGTTCCCAGCACCTGGCAGCATTCACCAGCCCTGAAGCTCTGTGAACCTGCCCTGTGTTTCTATGGAGTCTCCACTAGGTAGGCAGGATGGAAGAACTCACCAGCCACCAGTGATCAATTCAATTGTTACTCTGCCCTTCTTGGAGGCCAGGGGGTGAGGCTGAAAGTTCCAACTTCCACTCCCCAGCCAGCCAGTCCCCATTTGGAGGCTATGCAACAGCACCAACACTGAGCAACCTCATTGGCATACAAAAAGACACTTATCACTTTAGAAATTCTGCGTATTACATAAGGAACTTTCATTTGAATTTAATTTCTCTGAGCAAGTTAAAAAAGAAAAACTCCCCAAAGCAAATTAACTACTAAAATGTTAAAAGTCCTCCAGGAGAGGGCTGGGTTTGTGGCTCAGCAGTAGAGCGCAGGCCTTGGGCCGTGGGCCCTGGTTTCGATCCTAAGCACCACATATAAATAAATAAATAAATAAACAAATATAAATAGATGGATAGAGTGTGTCCAACTACAACTAAAAAATAAATATTAAGGGCTGGGGATGTGGCTCAAGCAGTAGCGCGCTCGCCTGGCATGTGTGCGGCCCGGGTTCGATCCTCAGCACCACATACCAACAAAGATGTTGTGTCCGCCGAGAACTAAAAAATAAATATTAAAAATTCTCTCTCTCATTCTCTCTTTAAAAAAAAAAAGTAGGGGATAGGAAAGGTAGCAGAATACAACAATTACTAATTGGGCATTATGTAAAATTGTGGATGTGTAACCGACGTGATTCTGCAATCTGCATTTGGGGTAAAATTGGGAGTTCATAACCCACTTCAATCTAATGTATGAAATATGATATGTCAAGAGCTTTGTAATGTTGTGAACAACCAATAAAAAAAATTAAAAAAATAAAAATAAAAAATAAAAAAAAGATTAAAATAAATAAATAAATAAATATTTTTTAAAAAGTCCTCCAGGAGAAAAGAATTCAGGTCAATAGTCAAGTGGAGTTTTAAAAGCTTCCAGACACCCTCCTCCAGCACCTGCAGAGGGCCCTGCTCCTTGCACCATGTTGAACTCAAACTGAGAGGGAAAAAACAAACTCAGCTGCTCACCACTGCTTGTTAAAAACAAAAAAGGAAAAAAAAATGAAAGAGCGGAGGAAGAGCAAGTGCTTACCACAATTTGTGAGCGCTGGGTTCAACCCCTAGCACCAAAGACACCACCCACTGCTTCTCCACATGTCCTGGGATTATGCTGCATTCTCGTGGGTCATAAATCTTACACAATTATAACAAAAATTGTTCAAACCAAGCACACATATATTGTGGACTTAATGCAAATGTTAAAATAAACTGCTAAGAGTACAAGGCAAGAGTAAGCCCCATCAGATACTGAATCTTAAGGTAAAGTTGCCAAATTAAAACAATGTAAAAATCCATGTGTTGGAAACTTAATCCCCAGCGCGAGTGTCTGGAAGTGGAGACTACCAAAGATGGTCAGGTCATCAGGGTGCTGCCCACGTGAAAGAATTAATGCCCCCAGTCCAGGTGGCTTCTTCTTTCATTCTTCTGGCCTGTAAGGACAGAGTCCCTTGCCGTCCCACCCTCTGCCATGTGAAGGCATAGTAATGGAGCCCACATCAGATGCCGGAGCCTTGATGAACTTCCCAGCCTCCAGATCCGTGAGAATGATCACTATGCCAGCAGTCTCAGGTGTTTTGTTGTGGCAGCACAAAGTAAACTAAAACAACAGGGCATGATGGTACAGGCGTATAATCCTAGCTACTTGAGACTGAAGCAGGAATCTCAAAGTCAAGGCCAGCTTGGGCAACTTAGTGAAATTTTGTCTTGAAACAAAAAATAAAAAGGGCTAGGGATGTAGCTCAGTGGTAAAGCATTCCTGGGTTCAATCCCAGGACCACAAAGAAAAAAATAATAATAATAATAAATAACAGGGGCTGGGGATGTGGCTCAAGCGGTAGCGTGCTCGCCTGGCATGCGTGCGGGCCGGGTTCGATCCTCAGCACCACATACCAACAAAGATGTTGTGTCCGCCGAGAACTAAAAAATAAATATTAAAAAAAATTCTCTCTTTCTCTCTCTCTCCTCTCTCACTCTCTCTTAAAAAAAAGAAAATAAATAAATAAATAACAAAGAAAACATAAAATAAAACT